TTGTTATCTACAGTAGTCATCAGACGTTGTATTGTTTCTTCACTTTGTCTATTGTGAGGCACAGTGCTATGAATACTTTTGTTTCAGAACAGAAGCTTTTGTATGGACCTAGATTGTCTCTTCGGTATCTACATAGGAATAGATTCTTTTTTTTCATGAGATGGGGACTCTCCCAGCATGTTGAATAACTGTTGGACTATCTTTCACAGTGGATACATGATTTATATTCCTGTAGCAAATTTGACACTTCCAACCACTCCACATCCTCACCATCCTTTATCAGCTCCTTTGTGATGTAGCCATCTTAATATGTGCAGTATCTTGTTGCAAGTTAGATTTTTGTTTGTTTGTTTGTTTTTCAAGACAGGGTTTCTCTGTGTAGCTTTGGAGCCTGAACTAACTCTTGTAGACCAGGCTGGTCTCAAACTCACAGAGATCCTCCTGTCTCTGCCTCCGAAGTGCTGGGATTAGATTTGTACTTCCCCAGGGACTAACAACATTGAACTTTTTTTCATTTGCTTTTTGGTCATTTGCATACTGTTTAGGGGGAAGTATAAATGCAAATTCATTGCTTATTTTTTAATTGGGTTACTTGTACTTTAATTATCAACTTGTAAGCATGCTTCAGATACTCCAAGTACAGGTCTCATATTAGAGATATTACTTGCAAAGTTTTTCTTCCAGTCTGTGGGCTGATTTTCATTTTTTAAATAACATCCTTTCAATACACAGATGTTTTTAGCTTTGAGTGGGTCTGGTTTCTCTTTTGTGTGTCTGTGTTTCATTTGTGCTTCCAGCTTCATATCTAAGATGCTTCACCTCCATCAAGGTCAAGAATATTTATGCCTATAATTTCCTCTGAGAGTTAATAGTTTTAGCTCTCACGTTTAGTTCCACAATCTACATCTAGTTAATTTTTACATGTGGTATGAGAAAGGAGTCATCCTCACGCCTTTATATCTCCATCTTTTTCTATTGCTATTCTCTAACACATATTTACTTCAAGCCACAATGAAGTACTTGATTGTACTGAAGGAAAGACACGAAAAACATGTGATGCCAAAGTACCATGTGAACACTGCCAGGCACCAAGTTCAATCCTCTTTTGGGTGGTGCAGATTCAGTTCAGTTCTTTGGGTCCAGTCTGTAAAACAGAACTAAATCACCCCACTAATATCAAACTTCTACAAGCCCAAGTTGATATATTTTCTTCTACAGAAAAGGTCAAATGTGAGTATAGTTGTTGGTCAGTTAAAATTATTCTAACGTACATTATTTCTTATTAGTATTAGTATTAGTATTAGTGTGTGTGGAAGAGAAGTTATATCAGTTTCCAACTGGGTAACTTAACATTGGGATTACAGGTTATTTTTTACTATCTTTCCACATTTCCCCAGAGCTTTAAGATAATTGATAAAGGACAAATGTTACTTTCACAATCAGAAAAGAATCTGCTTGCTGGTTGCTTCATACTTGCCAGAGCCACCTCTTTGTGGGATTGGCAGTTTTGTGATATATTGGACCTACAAAGAGTCCAAGGAGAATGTGTGTGTGGCACCCTGATGGTTGGACCACAGTCTGCCTCAGACTGAAGCCAGAAACAAAGCCTCTCATGGGAAGAGCAGTGGGGGCAAACCTGCCTCCATACCATATCACTTGCTTTGTCTTATTAAGAAACCGGAATAAGCTGCCAGCCACGCTAAGGTTGGCTGTAGGGCAAATGCATCTCTTTCCACTTTTGTAAGCACATCCTTGCTGAGGTCATGGAAAGGGGAAATCCTGTCTGGCAAATTCATTTTCCCATTGTCAGCTCAGCAAACCCATCCCCGGTGCTCAAAATCAGAGGATGACTTCTTCATTGTAGTATCACCAGAATTCTACTCTCTAATCAAATATGTTACAACCATAAGGTTCATAAAAATACACACTTGAATAAGAAACCTATGCTAGTAACCTTTCCACCTGCTGTCTGCATATGCTTGAGAAAGCAATTTCAGTCTTTCTTTCCTTCTTTTTATTTTTTTGAGACAGGGGTTCTCTGTTTAACTCATTCTGGCTGTCCTGTAACTCACTCTGTAGACCAGGCTGGCCTCAAACTCAGAGATCTTCCTGCCTAGTGCTAGAATCAAAGGCATGTGCCACCACAGCCTGGAAATTTCAATTTCTTAAGCCTTGGCTCTCCTCTTTGAAGAGTCATAATCATACTTTTTAAAAATTAAGCAGTAAATCTTTTTGGTTGTGAGCCTAGCCTTTAACGGCTGAGCCATCTCTCCAGCCCTAAACAGTAAATCTTAAGAAAATGGTGGCTATTTTAGCTAATAGCCATCAAAACTAATCCATGCTGACTCTGACAAAAACAATAAGAAAATGTTTTCCATGCTTGATAAAGGAAAAAAGCTAGCTACTAGATTCAGTTAGGATGTGGCAACATCTATTTATTATCCAGGCCACTCTCTATAACATCTTAAGTAGAAGTGAAGGCAAATTGAAACTTGGATGACATGCTGTGTCTAGTTCCCAAATGAATCACCCATTTGGATCCATGCAAATGACTCTTAGAGATTGTCAGGGTTTGTGGTCAGTCACTGAGAATAAGTAGAGGATACAACAGATCAGAAAGTGAAGGTCCATATTTATTTCTGACTTTATATAAAAGATAAAGACATAGGAAAGTTCACTTCAGAGTACAGCATGTAAATGGAACAGGCTAGTTACTTTTCGAGGAGGGGAACTGAATCACGCCATTGAAATGGGCGACCTGGACAAGATAATTTATAGAATACCTGTTTTTTTCTAAAACTGTGTGGATTTGTGTCCAGATCTGGAGTTCCTTTTGATTATAGGCCAAACACAGTAAAAATGGTCTGACTGAGGAAGGGTAAGCTTTGGAGTCCATAGACCTTGTGGATCTTCTCATTTACTACTTCCTAGTGTTCTCATGTCAACACTCACTTATATTGGCAATAGCAAACTTGAAATGCTGTTGGGGGTCTGTGGGAATATTTAAGAAAGTGCACGGCAGCAGTAAATACTGAGCAAGAGCAAGAAAACACTTACTGTGACAATCAGGACTAATCAATGTAGCTGATGGGTCTTGAGAAAGGGCTGAACACCAGCAGCAATATATACGTCAATACCAATGTGTACTGCAAGGACACACGTATACATATACATGTTTCTTTGGGAATCTTTTTCATTGGTGAAGTATAAATTGGGGATAGGAAGTAGTTAGGCTTATTTGCCAAATTAAATATAACTGAAAATCTTCTGAGTAATGTCCCAATGACAGAAGAATCTGTGACATTCAAGTTTTTCCTTTTCATGTTTTTCCTCTTGTAGTCTTAGTTTTTATTATAAAAACTTTTTACAGTTCAGTTTTGTAGATTGTTTAACTTCTGGCTATTGTAATGCAACAACAGGACACTCTAGGGCATGAAACATTGTGCAATTTTTAAGTACTGCTGCATAGAAAAAAATTTCCTGGGTCAGAAAAAAAGAATGTAGCAAGAGTTGACCAATACCACATATCTGCCAATAGTGTGTGAAAGAATGTTTTAAATGTCTTACACTAATGGAAGCTGTATTAGTCAGGTTTCTCAAGACCTATGTTGGGAGGAACATGTGGAGGGGGATCCAGGAAGAGCTGAGGTTGTGGGAGCAGTAGCAAAGATAATGGTCTACATACTTTATAAATGTGTCTGAAATTTCCAAAGAAGTTAAAAACTTATCTGGACTTTACTCGAAGTTATTATTCTAAAAGATAATTAAAAAGGAGCTCAAGAGGAGGTCTGAAATATCAATGGTATTGCAATGATAATGTGTACATTTTTGGTCAGAATTTTAATTTATCTCTCCATTTTCTTTTCTACTCCCTTCTCTCTGTCATCATCATCACTATTACTGCTGCTGTTGTTGCTGCTGTTTTATAGCTGTCTAACTTCACTGGACTGTTGGCTCTGGAAGATTTTATTCTGCTGGCCAGTGGAACAGAGTCTGTAGAAAATGACACGTTCAAAACTTTGAGTACTTTAAGAACCCTAGAATTTTGGAAAAATAAATTGAGACGAGTCCCCAGTGCTCTCCCAGCCAGCCTCGAAGTGTTAAAATTAAATGAGAATTCGATATGTGCTCTACATGCATCAGATTTTGAAGGACTGAAGAAATTAAAAGTGCTTGAACTTAAAAACAACTTGATCTCTTCCCTGTCTCCCAGCATGCTCCCCTCACTCATCAGTCTGCGAAGTTTGATGGTGGATGGAAACAATATAGAGTCGCTAGCTGGACCACTCAGCCTTCCACATCTGAAGTACATGAGCGTGGAGAACAACAAACTCCATCTTATACCAGGGAACGTCTTCACTTCTCTGCAGAATTTGCAGTTTCTCAGTTTCAGTGGTAACTTTCTGACTAAAATTCCTACAAATCTACCCAAATCCTTGCTATCTTTAAAGATGGAGAGAAACCAGCTCAAAGTCGTTAGATTTCGAGATGTGAGACACTTGGAGAACTTGTCCCGTCTTTACCTGTCAGAGAACTTCCTGTCTTCCATTGACGGGGTGCAGCTGCTTACCAATTTAACTACTCTTGAGGTCTCCCAAAACCGGCTTCAGACGTTGCCTCCCAGGCTACCGGCAAGGTTGCAGAAACTTGACTGTAGCAGTAACTTCATTCAGAAAGTGGCAGCACCAGAGTTCCAGGACCTCCGAGACCTGAAGCATCTGTTCCTAGACAACAATGTCGTCAGCGTGTTTGAGGCTGGAGCCCTTCAGAAGTGTTCTCAGCTGTCTAACCTGGCCCTGGAGCAAAATCTGCTGTTGTCCATACCTCTGAGGTGAGTGGACACTGTCATTTACTGTAGCAGTCTGCAGGCACTGGGACACATCAGTTGCCCAAGCAGAGTCATCAGTCATAAAATAAAACTAGGGGTTAGGGATAGATGTTTCCAACAGAGGTTGAGAATCCCCAGCCTGCAAACCAAATCCACAGAGGATTAATTTTGCTGATGGAACAATAGATATGGGTGATGCGACACTGACAAAGACAATATGAATACAGTGTAAAAAGTATGGCTTGATTTCTAAGTGTGTGGAATGCATAACTGGCTGACTGGGCCTGGGGATCCACTAGCAAAGACACCAGGAAACGTGGATGGGGAATATTTGGTAAGATATTTTTAGTTTAAAAAGCATCAAAATAGCACTTACATGGAAAAAATTAGTATCTGCAATTACTTATTGGGGCGCCTCACATTCTTGGTTAAAGCAGTCTCTGCGTATCCATTTGTGTCTGTGTGAGTGGGTGAGTCCATCAGTCTTGGTTTTCAGCTTTCTTCTTTTTCTCTTCTCTCCTTCTAGCCCCTCCTCTCCCTCCCTCTCTTCCTCCCCACCCTTTCCCCCTCTCTTTAACTCTTCCTTCCCCTCTTTCTATTTTCCTCTTTCTCTTCCTTTCTCCTCCACTCACACTTCACAGCTTTCCTTTCCAAATACTCTTCCCTCCATACAGAATTCACTGCAACTGTTTCCTTAACTACTCACCCATCCCCCTAACCACACACCCATCCCCTTAACCACACACCCATCCCCTTAACTACTCACCCCACA